TTCTTGGCCAAGGAAGCAAATTTTCAGAGTAAGCAATAACTGAATAGGCCATTTCAGGGAGGTCTTTTGTAAGTCTTTCCTAAGTAAAGAGAACACAGTAGCTTCCACAGAAATATGCCTGAAGAGAGGAAAAAACAATGTTGTCATATAGAATTGGATTAGTAATATAAATGAAAGCAACACTGTATTGCTTTCAACATCTTTTATCTGAGTATGCCCTGTTATACTCAAAAAGACCATCTTGGTCCCTGCCATAGGCCTTCAAATGGGGATCAAGGTGTGGTCTGCACAGTGACGAACACTGGCACATTTAAAGCAGAGCTCATTTAAAAGCATGCTCAAATCTGTTGCTAAAGCAATTCATTGTTCCCAAGATGATGGACAAATAACCTTGCTCAGGGATGGTGAAAGAGACCATCAGCCTGAGGACCCACAGCTGGGAGATGTATCTATTTCTATAAAGTTACAATTGCATATAAGCCTTGACCCAGAAAGTCTCATTTCTGGGAACTAACCCCATAGATCTATAAGTGCAAGAATATAGGGCTGGAGATGTGGCCCTCACAGCACAAAGCCCTGAGTTCAAATCCCAGTACTGCCAAAAAAAAAAGAAAATAAAAATAAAAATATATCACTGAATGATTAATAACTGCAACATTAAGTGTGATAACTAAAGATTGGAAGCTATGATTTGTTAAATGAACTATAATTCATCTACAGCAGAATGCAGCTGCAAAAAAATGTTGAAGTGTCCTGTGACTCAAAAAATGGGCAGAACTTCAAAATATAACAAATCTATATTTAACCTTTGGTGTAAAATAGAGAAACATGAAAATGTATTTACATTAAAAAAAAAACAAAACCTCTGGGAGGCTAGGTGGGGCATGCCTGTAATTCCAACACTCAGGAGGTTAAGGCAGAGGATTGTGAGTTTGAGGCCAGGTGAGTTTGAATAGGTGTGCAGGTACAAAAACCATTACCTAAGGTGGAAGTTAGCTCACTAATGTTTTGATTTTGAGACAGAGTCTCACTAGGTAGCAAAGACTGACCTGCAGCCTAAGCTTCCCAAGTGGTAGGATTAGAGGCGTGCACCGCACCATCATGCCAACTTTCACTTTTTCTTCTTTTGGTTGGTAATGAGATTTGAACTCAGGACTTGGAGCTTGCTAGGCAGGCACTTTGTACCACTTGAGCCATGACTACAGCCCTTCACTAAACATCTTCATAGTATAATAGCCAAAAGATGTTTAGATAAAGCAGAATAATGGAAGGGGTGAATTCAACTATGATATATTGTAAGAACTTATGTAAATGTCACAATGTACCCCAGTATAACAAAAATAATAATATCAAGAAAAGATGTTCAGAAAAATCCATTTCGTGGTGCAGCTTCTTTGGAAAACTGTATGTTGATGCTTCAAAAAAACAAAAACAAAAACAAAAATCCCTGTACTTCTACTTCTGGATTATACCCAAAAGTAGTGAAAGCAGGAAGTCAAACATATTTGTACACCCATGTTCAAATTCAGATAGTCAAAGGGTGGAAGGAGACAAGCGTGGGGGCTCAAACCTGTAATCCTAGCTACTCAGGAGGCAGAGATCATCAGGGAGATCAGAAGGATTGCCCAGGAAGCTCAGGCAAATAGTTTGGAAGACTCTATCTAGAAAATAATCCATCCCAATAAAACGGCTGGTAGAGTGGCTCAAGGTGAAGGCCCTGAGCTCAAATCCCAGCACTGAAAAAAAAAAGTGGAAGGAATGGGAACGTAGGTATTCATAGGCAGGTGAATGGATAGAGATAATGTGCCATATACATATAGTGGAATGTTATTCAGCCGTAAAAGGAAGGAAATTTTAGTACATGCTACAACATGTAAAATTTCATGAACTAAGTAAAATAAGCACTTAAAAGAATAAATATTGTATAATTATTCTTCCTAGAGTAATCACATTCAAAGAGAGGGAAACTAGAATGGTGGTTGCCAGTCGCTGGGGAAGGAGGGGTGGAGACTTAGTGTTTACTGAGTACAGTTTCTGCTGGGAAAGATGAAACTGTTGGAGATGGAGGATGGTGGTGGTTGCATAGCGATGTAAATATATTTAATGTCGCAAGATTGTACACTTAAAAGTGGTTAAAATAAGGGCTGGGGTCTGAGGGCATGACCCTGAGTTCAATCCTCAGCACCACATAAATAAAAAATAAATAGATAATAAGAGCTGGAAGTGTAGCTCAGTGGTAGACTGTTTGCATAGCATGCGCAAAGCCCTGAGTTTTATTTCCAAAAAACTGGTGGGGAGTTTATTTAGATGGTAAACTTTCAATGTATAAAGTATACATTGAAGCTCAACTCAGTTCTTACAACTCACTTTCTCGTCAAATAAGTTTACCCTAGCCAATAAAACGGGGCCCTAGTTACAAGAAGCAGCAGACAAGTACTGCACAGTGGAAGTCACAACACTATAGTATCTTAGTTTTTCCGAATGACGGAACGAATTAGTGGGTATGACTCACCTTCACAAGCTTGAGGTTAAAAGCGAAGGCTTGCGCCCAACGTGGGGCTCGAACCCACGACCCTGAGATTAAGAGTCTCATGCTCTACCGACTGAGCTAGCCGGGCACCCTAAATTATTGATTCAAAAATGAGTTCTTGAATCTTCCATTTGGGTTGTGTTCCCTCCTAGATTTGGAATAGAGTTTTATTTCTAAGGTGCCTTGATAGCCCGGGAAATTCAAACTTTGCGAAGTGTGCCTAACCGTCCCTCCCACTTCCGCTTTCTGCTTACATTTCTTTATCAGCGACATAGTTGTTTTCCATCCGCGATGAAGCGCCCGACTCTGAGAAGGAAAAATTCGTGGATCAAAACGTCAGTTCACAAAAAGAAAAAAAGAGAGAGAGAGAGAGAGAGAGAAAGAGAGAGAGACAAGACGTTAGCTCACTCCTCGGAGCTTTAACCAGGAGAGCATAGCAGTGCCCGGGAGGAGTGCTGCGAGAGGTGTCCCCTGTGGCCTTTTTGTAATCTACGCAGACTTAACCCACTCTTCACTCTGGACTATTTCCCAGCGTTCTGCAAGTATGCTCTATTTAGAAATTTGCTTCAACAAAACAAAATAAAAAGCACAAAACCTAAGTGGAGATGCCGGGGATCGAACCCGGGGCCTCATACATGCAAAGCATGCGCTCTACCACTGAGCTACATCCCCAACCACGTACATTTCACTTCTCACTTGGTGATTACTCGGAGCAGGGCTAGGACCCGCCGAAGATCGAAGGCCGAAGGGAAATCCCAGACCGCTGCAAAACCCTGGGACGAGGGGCATAGAGTTGTTCCAGGGTCTTCTGCTGACTCTAGACAAGCGGTTGGTGACAGAGGACTTAGCGGACTAAGTCCGCATAAAATCTGGGACAGCAGTGGAAAAATGACAGGGATAGGGTCTCATCAGAAACCATGCCCAAAATAAACTGTGACCCGCGCAAAGGTAAGTAAGGAAGACTGTGACAGCGAGATGCCATGTTTAGTTTTTAAAGGGGGAGGATAAAATAATGAAATACAGAATACTTGAAAAAGACAATCCGGAATAGCAAACTTATTAAATGGAATGAGGAAGGAACCTGGAATGTAGGCGATGGTTGGATTTAACCACTGCTCTGTGATTTCGGACCAGTTTAACTCTGTTCAATTCGAGAAAAAGTTTACTGAACGTGTCGAGACCTGCTTTGGAAACTGGGAGTTCAGCCGCGAGCAAATATAACACAGAGCAATTTCAAAGATGATTGACGTGCTAGAGAGAAAACAGAGCCAGAGATGAGGAAGGAGAGCGCGTAAGAGGAACTTTAAACAGTGCGTGTGATCCGAGTGGGCTTCAGGGCCAAGGAGACATATAAATAACACTTGAAGGAGGTGGGAAGTGAGTCATACACCTATCCAAAAGAAGGTAGGCTCAAGCAAAGGGAACAGTCAGAACTAAGTCCATCTCTCATGTAGGATTATCAAGGAGACCCACGTGGCTGGAAAAGGGGTCAACACCCCAGAGAAGTCAGGGATGAAGACAAAGCTGGAGACAAAGCATCGGTACGGGTATTTGTAAGGACTTCCACTTTTGCTGAGAGAAATGGCAGCCCCTGAAGGGTTTTGAGAAGAGGTCTGGGATGTGTATGGTGGAGACACCAGCACCGGGAGGGTTCAAGCAAGAAAGTGGAAGACATCACAAGGGAGGGAGTGTAGACAGAGGCTCGAGGACTGAGGCAGGACAGCGAGGTGAGCAGGAGCCCCAAGGAGGCTAAGAAGAAGGTAGGAGGCTACAGATGTGGGGAAATCATGAGAATGTAGTGTCCTGGAAGGCGCTAAGAGAAAGGTGTCGGAAAGGATGGCACCTCAGGGGGCAGGTGAGATCTACACCTTTGAGTTAGAATCACACAGGTCGCTGGTGACATTGACAAGAACGGTTTCTGAGGCGGGTTGGGGCAGAAACCGGACTATAATGGCCTCTAAAGGAGATAAGGGGAGAAGCAAGATATGGAGTGGGTGTGTGCAGACCAGCTGGAGGGACAAAAGAAGGTTGGGGTGGGGGTGGGGGATTCGGGGAGGAATAGCACCGAATAAAGTGAGAAAACTACTTAAACGTATTTACTGGTTCAAATCCTAAATTAAAAAAATAAAGAAGGGGAGGACGGTTGCAGAAAATTTTACAGAAGTGGACTCAAGGATGTCATAGAAGTGGACACAAGTTATGGAAGAGGACACAAGGCCGTGCTTAGGAGTGAGAGGAGAGGACCAGGTTCCAGACCCTAAGTTTAGCTCAGCGCAGTGCCAGGATGAACCAATGCTCTGGGAACCTGACACCGTGGCCCGGGCGCCAGGCAGTTGCCCCGGCAGTGCAGGGTCAGCCTCCGCAGGCAACCTGGAGTGGCTCCCAGCTGGGCTTGTGCGCCCACCTGTTGCGGCCCGTTTCCCTCTGCTGACTGGGTCAGGCTGGGGCAGCCTAGAGAAGCCGAGGGAGGGGGCGACAGAGGGGAGGTCTCCTGCCAAAGTAGGAGCTGCTGGAGCCCAGAGCGGAGTCGTAGGCCGCTTCCCGGCTTTTAATAGCCGGGCCTTGTCGGGCCAGGCATCAACATGCACCCTCCGCTCCCGGCGGCTCCCAGCTGAGTGCACGCTCAAATCACGTCGCCACCTGTCCAATGTCAGCCCCGCCCTTCCCCCCTTGCCATCCCGGGCAGCCCAGCGGCTAGCCGCGTACTGTGGGGTCCTAGGGACTCTGAGGCGCTGCCGGATCTGGTTACACTGAGGGCGCCCATGGCTGCAGTGGGGCCGCGGACCGACCCGGGCGCAGGAGCCGAGGCGCTGGCGCTGGCGGCAGAGTTACAGGGTGAGGCGACATGCTCCATCTGCCTAGAGCTCTTCCGGGAGCCGGTGTCCGTCGAGTGCGGCCATAGCTTCTGCCGCGCCTGTATCGCGCGCTGCTGGGAGCGCCCGGACGCCGGAAGCGCAGCTGCCACCCGCACGCTGCCCTGTCCCCTGCCCTGCCCTCAGTGCCGCGAACCCGCACGCCCCAGCCAGCTGCGGCCCAACCGGCAGTTGGCCGCTGTGGCCACGCTACTTCGGCGCTTCAGCCTGCCGGTGGCCACCACCGGAGATCGCAAGTCCACGGAGGCGGTGACCTCCGCGGCGGCCAGCCGGTGCGCACAGCACGGGGAACAGCTCAAGCTCTACTGCCAAGACGATGGACGCGCCATTTGCGTGGTGTGTGACCGCGCCCGCGAGCACCGCGCGCACGCCGTGTTGCCGCTGGACGAGGCGGTACAGGACGCCAAGGTGAGCGCACGCCCCATCCCTGCGGGTCCCCGAGACCCTCGGCTTTGGTCCAGTTCTCCTGCCCACCCGGTGCAGACAACAGACAGTCAAGCAGGGAGGAGGCCCCTGCCTCCTTTCTTCCATCCCACGCTTCCCAGCTCTGTCCGGCAGAGCGCGGTTCTCCCTCTGTCATCCCTTATCTCTCCACCGTTTCCCTCTGGATCTGATACTGAGAGGCCTGTGTGATGCCCCCAGGCCTCACATCTGTGTGTCCCTAGCTTCTAGCCAAGAGTCTCCGTAATCCCCTTACATCCTCTGTCCCCCCTCATCCCTTTTCGTGGGGCATGGCTCTACTCAATTCTCCACTTCATTGGGGACCCAGTGGGAAGACCTTCCCAAGGTCAAGGGGAGGTAGTGTGGGGCTCCTGGCTAAGGGGAATGTCTGGGTTGTGCCAAGCCCATGACTTCTGGGCACCTCTCCCTTGCCAGGTTCCTTTCTGGGGCCTGGTCATCAGAGGCGTGAGCACAGGCATACAGTCCTCAGTTTTGCTTTGCGTTCCTAGCCTGTCCCAACTCTCTCACCTAGGGGCCTTTTTGTTGCTCGGGAGGAGAGCAGAGGAAAGGACTGTCCCCCACCCATTTAGGTTTGTGTTTCAGCCTAGCTAGTGAGGCAGATACCGTTGGGGAAGAGTACAGCTCACACCTGTAATACTAGCTACTCAGTAGGCAGAGAGCAGGAGGATAGCGGTTGGAAGCCAACTAGGCAAATAGTTCGCCAGACTATGTGGGGAAAAAAAATCACAAAAAAGGGCTGGTGGAGTGGTTCAAGGTGTAGGCCCTGAGTTCAAGTCCTGGGGGGGGAAGGCAGGGGAGGAAGGTGTTCTTGGGGAAGTGAGACTCCAGGTACTTTGGAATGACCTCTGTATCCTTAGGTGTGCCCTGCACAGGTATAAGCATCTTGACAGCCAAAAATGTCTTTTATCCAGCCTTCTGTCCCAGGAGCAGAGACTCCCCTTTCTCCTGGGTGTGTCTAGGAGGGCTCATGTGAGGGTTTCCAGAATCTTCTGCCCGCAGTGTCTTCTTTCTTACCTGCAGGAGCTCTTGGATTCCAGGCTGAAGGTCTTGAAGAAAGAACTGGAAGACTATGAGGTGTTCCGGTTTACAGAAGAGAAGGAGAGCAAGGAACTCCTGGTGAGCCCCAGTTGTGGGAGCACACAGGGCTGCTGCCGCCAGGGCTCCGTGTGTGTGTGGTGTTGGAGCATGTGCCTGTGGACAGCAGGGTGGATTTCAGGAAAGGCGGTGCTCAAATAATCATCAGAGAATAGCTGGCTTAAACTGAAATTGTTCCAGTGAGTTAGGATGCATAGTCAGGCCAATTATGGCCTGCGGAAGCAACTTGAAATTGAACACAATAATGATCTTCAGGTTGATAGGGCTGAATATTCATACTCACTCCACATCATATTTTACCACAAAAAGAATAGCAAAAAAATGTATATTTTCAATTTTTTTTTTCAGTTGATGCTCAGGGAGGAAGTCCAGAAGGTATCAGAGCTGCTCCCAGCTCTGGCAGAGGTCAGGAGTTTGGGGGCATGGGTTCTGTACAGCCCAGGGTGTCCAGCACTTCCCTCTCCCCTAGTTGGGATGGTATTTTGTTTTTCATAGACTAGAACAGGAAAGTGAACTGACTCATTTTTATTAAGATGGGCAAGTATGAGTTGTTGTTGCTTTTTACTTTACACATTCAGTTCCTAGTTCAGTAAATGGTGTTAAAATGAAAGGAGGCTGGAGGCCTGGCTGAGGTAGTAGAGTGCCTGCCTAGCAAGAAGGAAGCCCTGAGTTTGAACCCCAGCACTGCCATAAATAAATAAATAAATAAATAGGATCCATTAAGGATAAAGCCATTTGGTTATGGTGTTGGGACTGGAGGAGAGGAACTTGAAGGCATCACATGGTGGGGCAGAACAGCATGATGGCTCAGCTCTCCCTCTTTTTTTGGTGGGACTTGAGTTTGAATTCAGAGCTCCACACTTGCAAAGCAAGCCCTCTACTGCCTGAGCCACATCCAGGGCCCATTTTACCCTGAAAAATGTGGAGATGGGGTCTCTTGAACTATTTGCCCAGGCTGGTCTCAAACCATGATCCTCCCAATCGTAGCCTCCCAAGTAGCTATGATTACAGGCGTGAGTCTTCAGCACCAGGCAGAGTTAGGATATTTAAATAGCGGGTGAGCACAGCACACATATATGTGTGCCTCTGATCCCCAAAACAGTGAGTGGGACAGAATCCTGCCATGTTGGATGCCTATCCAGATGTTATGTCTCCATGCTCAAGTCCCCTCACCTCTCCAACCTCTCCTGGGACAGATGCAGATGGCAGCAGAGAAAGAAAAGGTAGGGGCAGAGTTCCAGGCACTGCGAGCCTTCCTGGTGGAGCAGAAGGGCCGGCTCCTGGGCCGCCTGGAGGAACTGTCCCGGGAAGTGACACAGAAGCAGAATGAGAACCTGGCCCAATTGGGGGCTGAAATCACTCAGCTCTCCAAGCTCAGCAGTCAGATCCAGGAGACAGCTCAAAAGCCTGACCTTGACTTCCTCCAGGTGAGTCTGACTCAGTCAGGGCTGTGAGTCCATCTCCCAAAGATGCAGGACTGGCAGCTGGAGAACAGTCAGATTGAGGGAGGTAAGTAGAATCCCATGACTTGGAGCCAAAGGGAACTGGAGAGAGGTGCCCTGATTCTCCTGGGGTTGGAAGTCGAAAGGAATGTGACAAAACTTTCATGACGTAAACCACAATAATTTATCTTACATTATATTCCAGTATATACATACCTGGGACGAATGTCTCGGAAAATAATATTTATCTTTGCTCTCTGTAATGCACTTTAACGTGTTTTATATTTTATTTCATTAAAAATAGTCACAATCCATTAGATAAACTTCATAAACCACAAAAGGGTAAAGCACAGTCTCTTAAAAGATTCTGGTCTGAGTAATCAGTCATTGCACTTCTCTAGGGGTGGTTTTAAAGGTAGAGGCAAACACTGAGTCCATCAGATGACTCTGTGATGATTTTAAACTTTTTTTCTCTCATTTATTCATATGTGCATACATTGTTTGGGTTTTCTCTCCTCTATCCCCTGCCCCCCCTCCTTAAACTTTTTAAAAAAAATTTAAAGTTTTTTTTTTTTTTTTAATTTTGGCAGTATTGGAGTTTGAACTCAGAGCTTCAAGAGTGCTAGGCAGGCACTCTACCACTGGAGCTACTCCACCAGCCCCAAATTTTCTTTTCTTTTTTTTTCTAGTGATGATTTTTAATAAATAAAGTCTTTGCAGAATTGTGTGAAGGGTTGAAGGGTCCATGGAGTTGACACAACACCCAGTTGCTAGACAAAGCTGGAAACTGTGGTCACCTGGTGCTATGCAGTCAGGCGTGGTACACCAGTTAATGGTTTATTTTGTTGAAGGCAAGGTAAGGGGCAAGTTTTGTTTTCTCAAAGGTAATGGAGGTTCCTTGATACTGACTTGGCTTTCTCCCATCTTTCCTTCCAGGAATTCAAAAGCACACTGAACAAGTGAGTGAACCCAACACACCCACCCAGGGTCTTTCTAACCTGGATCTCTCTTCATCCCCACCTCCCTCTCACCTCCTGATTCCCACCCCACCTCCTCACCTGGGTGCCTTTTGAGACAAGTACCCACCTGCCTGACCATGGCTATTTCTGCATGAGGTCCAGATCTCCATTTTCTACCTCTTGTGGAAGCAGCTGAAAAGTAAAGAGAGAAAGAGAAGGTGGGGGGTGGGCAGGAGCCCAATATCCCCTTCAAGGACATGCCTCCAATGACCTAAGTTCCTCCCACTTGGCTCTACCTCCTAAAAGTCCCACCTCCCAATAATGGCATAGACCAGTGACCAGTTCTTGGATACACAGAACTTTGGGGGACACTGATCCGAACTGTAGCACCATCCTAATTGCCATAGCCCAGTGGAGTGGGTCAGTGTTCTTGGACTTTCCTCAAGGTCCCTGTCCTGCAGGTGCAGCAGTGTTCCTGGCCCCAAGCCAACCACCGTCTCCTCTGAGATGAAGAATAAAGTCTGGAATGTTTTCCTCAAGACTTTTGTCTTAAAAGGGCTGCTGAAGAAGTTCAAAGGTAGGGGCCTTGGGTGTGAGCTGGGCCATGCAGTGTAGGTGGCAGTGGTGTGTTTCTGGTAGTTCTGGGGTCCTGAGGGTGTGACTCTTCCAGAACCTGTGAAAGAAAACAGGAGCTGGGAGGTGCCAACAACAGACTGGTGTGGGGAGACAGTGGTGGCAAATCTATTTGGTGGTTCCCCTAGGACATGCAGCTTCCCATGGGGACAGACAGAGTGGAAAGGTGTTGGGAGGCAGAAAGAGGGTTGAGGGGGGAGAGTTCAGCTCAGACCACCTCTGGGCAGTAGAGAAATGGGCAGAGGGGCAACTAGGATACTTCTTGGGCATCTGATCTCCGCCCTCCTGCCCTCCATGTTTGACCATGTACGTTCACAGCAACTTGACCTCTGGAGTATTTGGGAATAAATGAGTCAGGTAGGCTATCAAAGTTGGAAGAGGGCCATCCTTGCCGGATAATCTCCCATGTCATTCATGCACACTCTGTTTCTCCTCAGAGGATCTTCGGGGAGAGCTGGAGAAAGAGGAGAAAGGTATGGATGTGGTCGTGATTGTGAGTACAGATAGTATGGCCAGGTAGAGAATCTACTCCCTGTCAGTGGCTTTCTCTCTGATTGGTTCCTTCTGCCCGCCTGACTCAGTGACTCTGCGTTTCTGATCCTCTCTTGGTCCTTGCACGTGCAGTTCTGACCCTCAGGTAGCAGTGGGGCCTGTTGGCCTATAAGCTGTGGGTGGTCAGGAACAGGAGTGACTGGGCCTCAGGACACTGACATTGGGAAGGCTTGCCGATCACCTGGATGAGTCTCTTCTGTCCTCAGTTCAAGACAGATGGAGACCTCTCCTGGAGATGGGAGTTAGGAAAGGGGAGACAGGGGAAGTAGGGGAGGCTGTAAACAGGAAGGCATGAGATTACTTCTGCAGAACTCTGGGGTATGTGAGATCCAACACTAGGAGGAAGGGTGTGGAGGGCACATATACCTGATGCTGAGGACTGAGCTAGGTCAGCGTTTACCTGGGGAGGATCTAAGCCAACTGAGCAATATACCACGCCTTTCCTTTGCCCAGTGCCCTGTAATAGCCCCTCTTACTCAGTAAAGTCACAGTCCTCAGGATGGTCATTAAGACCCAAAAGATTTGATCTCACTCTGCAGTACCCCTGGCTCACAATGTGCAGCCACATACTCTCTTTGCTGCTTCTAGATCGCAGTGCTCAACGCAGGTACAGCTTTTAATTTTTTATTATGGAAATTTTCAAACACACTTTAATGTAAAGAGAAGAGCATAAGGAACATTACATATTCATCATACACCTCCAGCAATGCTCAATTCCTGGCTAATGTTTTTCATAGACACTGTATCCATTTCTCACTGGATTATGTTAAAGCAAACCACAGACAACATATTCCCATAAATATCCAGTATGTTTTCTCTAAAGAGAGAGACTTTTTAAAAACATAAACCACAAAACCATCATCACACCTAGAAAAGTTAATGATTCTTTCCAATAACTAGTGTTCAAATTTCTCCAATCGTCTTTGAAGTTGGATTTGTTGATCTGCCTGAATTGGGAACTATATCAGGCCCAAACGTTGCATTAGTTTGATTTCAATAAGTACTTGTTGAATGAAAAAGAAAAATATCTAAGAAGCAAAGGGTAGGTGATTGGGAACTGTTATGTATTGGCTGTATTCTTCCAGGAAGCAGAGACAGGTTTGCAAAGAAGGGAGGGAATGTGGCCCCAAGAGCAGAGGGGCTGTGCAAGAAACCTTTATAGGGATATCTCTCCTTGTCTCTGCCTCTGCAGTGGAGCTCACCTTAGATCCCGACACGGCCAACCCCCGCCTCATCCTGTCTCTGGATCTTAAGAGCGTACGTCTTGGACAGCGAGCCCAGGACTTGCCCAGCCATCCCCGCCGCTTCGACACCAACACCCGGGTCCTGGCGTCGTGTGGCTTCTCCTCGGGGCGGCACCACTGGGAGGTGGAAGTGGGTTCCAAGGACGGCTGGGCCTTCGGCGTGGCCCGCGAGAGCGTGCGTCGCAAGGGCCTCACGCCCTTCACCCCGGAGGAGGGCGTCTGGGCGCTGCAGCTCCACGGCGGGCAGTACTGGGCTGTGACCAGCCCCGAGCGGACTCCTCTCAGCTGTGGGCACCTGTCGCGTGTTAGAGTGGCGCTGGACCTGGAGGTGGGGGCTGTGTCCTTCTACGCCGTGGAGGACATGCGTCACCTCTACACTTTCCGAGTCAACTTCCAGGAGCGCGTGTTCCCCCTTTTCTCTGTCTGCTCCACTGGCACTTACTTGCGAATCTGGCCTTGAGGGACATTGCCTGGCTTTCTAGGAGGGAGGCTGGTGGGTCTTGGGTAGACTCTTCCTCCTCCTCCTGTGACAGAGTCACCTGCTAGGTCTTGAGCCTGCTCTCCACAGTCCCAAGAGGGTCTGCTACAGAGCACGGCACGGGAGGCATGAAGAGCTGTTGAGGACCAGGGCTCTGTGGTCAACTGAGCAGGGGAAGAGATGCCTTGGACCCTTGCGCCTGTTCCCCTCGTGTTGGTGCTCAAGGGATTTGGCTTGAATTGCCTGGGGATGGAAGCCCATGAGGACATAAATCTTCTCTTGGCCAGGGTGCTTCCTATCACATAGGGCTATTGCCCTGAGTTAGAAGGGCCACTGGTTCCATGGAACAATGTTAAACTTTGATCCTGTTGCAAGGGGTCAGGTTTGGCCCTGGGTCAGCCAGGTTCATTATTACTTTGCCTTCTTGACAGCTGCCAACTCTACCTTGGTAGGGAGTGAGACTTCTGGATCCAGCTGGCCTGGATTGGTCATCTACTCAGGGAGGAGCACAGTATTCTCAGCTCAGAGGACAGTTGGCTAGAATTGGAAGGAGACCCGTGGCCCATACATGAGGGAAAAAACCAGGACAACAGCATACAGGCATTGCTACTCTCCTGCATCCCTTAGCCTGATGCTACACCGTGGTTTATGCATCCGTGACCATGGATTTGTGTTCTCTCAGATACCTAGCTGTCCATTTTTCAGTGTCAGAGCACAGTGTCTCTTGGGTAAGGACATCAAAGGTACTTGAATTCCGAAAGTACTTCGGAATTCGGAAGTACTTGCTACTTCTAATTTTACAGATGTAACAAGCACCAGCAGATACATGCACAGAACACTAACATGCTTCTGGAAATCCTTTCTGGAACTTGCCAAATGTTTGCCAACAGTGGAGCATCCTGGTCCCAAGGTCTGCTCAACCTCTGTCCTGGACTGTGTTCAGCAGGCCAGTCTCTTTATCCTCTTGGCTGATTGTTCCACAGCTTCTGAATGGCTTGGCTTCTGGGAGGGCTATATTGGGCTGTTCCCTGTTTAGTGCTTCTCTGGGAAGGGGGATGGGCAGAGGGAAATACAAATTGTGAGCTCATCTCTTGGGGTGGCTGGACTCATTCTTGACTCCTCTGTTCTGATTACTGGATGACAAGTCAGAGCAAAGGTTTCTGCTAGTGAGTGAGTGGGTACGTGTATTTATGCAAATAAGCAGTGTGAGTACAAAGATGTGAGTGGCTACTGGGCTACATGAGTGTGATTTTTTTGCTGGGGGTGGGGTGGGGAGAAGACTCTTGCTTTGTAGTACTGGCTGGCCTTGATCTTGTGATCCTCCTGCCTCCTCCTCCCAAGTGCTGGGATTACAGGCATGTGTCCCTCACACGCAAAATTTCAGCATGAATTCTGTCCTACACAGGTTGTTTAGACATATGGTTTGGCATACAGAGACAGTGGCAATTAAATCATCCTGTCTACAAGTGTCTTTGAGTTTTAGGGCTCTGTCCCTTGAGATATTTCCAGCACACTTGGCATATGGTTCCTGTGGGGCAGCCAGGACACTTGTCTTTGAGGCAACCCCAGTTAACACTGTACCAGGCAATCAGAATCCTGTGTCATGTGGGCAGGGGACAGGACCATTTAAGACTGCAGCCTGTTGCTTCTTGGCTTTTTGGCTAAGATCAAGTGAAGACTTTAGCCTACAGCAGAGTCCAGAGGGTGAATCCTCTTGTCTTGTTACCATGTGGAAAGTAGCTCTAGAACACTGTAGCCAATCCGTGTATTTGAGTAGCACTGGTTTCCACAAAAAGACCATTTCTAATATTCAATGGGTAATTAAATGACTTAGTGTTGTCATCAGGTTCTCATGTTATCTGGGCTTATACAGCTTTTAGACAATCATGATTCCCTTTGTATCACTTAATAACTGCGTCAAGTGTCACAACACATTATGGGTCACAGAAGAGAGACTTCGGGTGGAGGTGGCAAGTATGTCGGTGAGGCCGGGATATGGGGCTGTCTGTGTGCATATTTTCAGCTTTTGTGTTTGTGAGTGTGACTGTGTGTCCATCAGAGAAGGTGTACTTGCAGAGTAACTACAAATATACTGGAAGAAATGTTACCACAGTTACTGTAACAGTTACATACAGAGGGGAAGAGATGCTCTTTCTTGGGCAGCTTGGTGACTTGAATGACACAATGCTGGTGTGAGAGTGTCTGCATTTCCACCTCACATCCTTTGGACACGCTAAAGTAACTGAGATTTCTGGGTCTTTGAGAATGACTGGCCCAAAAGGGTCCTTTTCACCCCACCCTTTAGTCTTAGATCCTGGAGAACACACGATGCTGCTACCTCTCCTCACAGGGCATTCAAACTGAAGGGCATTCAGGGGCCCAAGTGATCCAAGCCACCTGGCCTCACAGGGACCACAGGGCAGACCTGGCCATCAGGCCAAAGTCTATGACCTGCAACCACTACTTTCTGTCCTTTCCCCGATAAGGTTCTGTCCTCTCCCAGACTGAGGTTCTGGTCTCTCACCTGGGCCCCCGATTCTCTTTCCGTGTCTTCCACCTAGTGGGTCCCTTAAGGGCCCTGACAAGTCAGCTCCTGGAGAATCAAGGTGTGCCCTAATTCTTGTTTGCCTAAGAGTGAGGTGGGGATTAGGAGACTCAAATCCTTGTCTCTGTCTGGGGCTCAGCACCTCCAAACACTCTGACCTTTTGGTTCTCTGAGACTTCCTCTTGGCTTGACCCCCCTCACTTCCCACTGCTCGGTTATCACCCTGCTCACCCCAGGTGCCACCTTAACAGCTCAGATATGGATTATCTGCAGGACTGGCCTATTGATTTCCCTCCCCCCTCCCCCTACCTGTACTTTGACCTCTGTACCCTCATCCTCATTCACTAATGCCTTCACCACTCTCCCTACCTCACTTGCCGGGTCAGAGGCAAGGGCAGCTCCGCTCAGCTCCACCCACCGGAGGCCCCGCCCTTCCCGCTGCGTGTCCGGCCCACGCGCGCCTGGGCCCTGTTTTCCCCAGCTCTGTCCGGGACTTGCCGCCGGCCCGCCTCGTCTGCACTTGACGCGGTAGATGGAGCGACTGCGGCTATTGGATCCAAAGACTTGGGTTTTACTTAACTCCGGAATGTGTTGATCTGCGGCTGCGCGGCGATGATGGCGCTGTCAACTACTTGTGCGCAGAACAGGTTTTCGTAGCCGGCTCCATAGCTCAGGGGTTAGAGCACTGGTCTTGTAAACCAGGGGTCGCGAGTTCAAATCTCGCTGGGGCCTACTGGTTGTTTTGCGTTTTTCCTCCCAACCTTTTGTTTTGTTTTTAGGTCGGATCACTCCCTTGAAGACCTTACCGTTGCACAACCTCTCCAAATCGCAGTCCTCATTAAGTTTCCTAATGAGCTGTCTCAAGTCTCAAAAAGAAGGGGAACCAGCCCTTCTCTATTTTCAATCCAGCCGTGGCTTCCATTGCTCACCTCACTCAATCCAAACTTCTGAACACCACCTACGCACTACTTGCACACCGACCACCCTAGCGAACCCCTCCCATTGTCCCCAGAAATGCTGCTCTTCTCACTTGGAAGCCTCCTTAGATCCACACCCCATTCTTCAGTACTAGCGTCAGACATCTCCTCCAGGAAGCATTCCCAGGCTGTTTTCCACTTTTCACACCGCCTCCCCGCAAGGTTAAAAAAAAAAAAAAAAAAGCGGAAGATACGTTAATCACAGGGATTTCCACTTTACCAGGCAAGGCCCTGGTAGAGTTACTTCTCTTTGTCCCTCAGGTAGTCCAACTGTCACACCCACTGAAAACGTCCCCATCACAGGTTCCCTGGCTCCGCGGGCCTTCTTCCCCACGCCCCCTACTCTCCCTCGCTCTGGGCGAGTTCTCCGAGGGGCTTTCCTTTATCCTCCTGTGGCCCCACTCGGACCAGGGGCTCGTCCTTGTCTCTCATGCTTTCTTCTTCTGTAGTTTGACCCACTCCTCTTTTCCCGCACTGAGACGAGTCTAGCGTTTGTCCGCGCTCCTCCTGCGCTTGCACAGGACGTTAGAGCCGCTACCCTGCTCGCTTGTGGCAGCTGTGTGGCCTTGGCCTCCTGGTCCCTGCCACCTCCGTGTTAAGCACGCAGTTAAGCACATGTTAAGCATTAATGTGGGATTAATTACAGTGTATAAAGAAAAATGCAAACAAATCCATGTTCTTAACACCCAGCCTAGGGACTATAACTGTCATATTCACTTTCAGTCATTTAAACAAAGATTTTCAAAACAAATGCATCTATCTATCTATCTATCTATCTATCTATCTATCTATCTATCTATCTATCTATCATCATCTATATTCTACATCTAGTGCATGTTGCTGATGGAAGCGAAGGGTACAAAGTAGTCTGAGTCCTAAGGGAACCGTCAGTGTGCTGCTACCCAATGGCCAGGCCCAGACCCACCAGGTGTCTCGAGACATCTCTGCCTTCCGGTTGCGGGGTCCTGCCACTCCCACTTCCAGATGGAGGGAATCCTACGTCCAGCAGAAGGGGATCTCAGAGAAACCCTGGGCAAGTCGCTGCTAGTGGTTCAGGATTCGAAAACAGAATGCGGACCCAGCGCGCAAGAGCGGAGAAAGGAACCCACCATACCCGACATCCGGGTAGAGGCTGGAGCGGGGTGGATGGATGAGTGGGGCCTGGAGAAGGGAGCGGGGGTCGCGGCCATGCCAGGAGCACACGCTTCCTTCGGTCACCCAGGCCTGGTCCCCTTCCTAAAGCCAAGACCCCGACTGACTCGTCGCGTTAGGCTTGGAGCCTCGGACTCCTTGAACTCCCATACCTCAAGGTGCCTGTCCCACAGGAAAGTCACCTTAATAGAATTGCGGGATCGAGGACACCAATGGCAAGTTACAGCCACCTTCCCGACTTAGATCACAGATTCCGCTTGCGTGAGAAAGGGGTGCTGCAGGTGGCCCCTAAGAACAGCTGAACAGGTGAATGAACCTCAGGACCCGCATTCAGTTGGGGGCTCAGTGTCTAGGCGCAACGACTACGCCCGAGAAAGAGCTGGTGAAAAAACGTACAAGTCATCTGACCCAGTCAGGTCCAGGTGAGGTACCAGAAGAAGGGTCCCCAGGTCACTCCCTTGTCTAGCTGGTAAATGTGAGGGCGTGAGGGCGAGGTTTGGGGAGAGGAAGAACTAACCGGGATGGGACTGTCTTTGGGGTGGCTCAGTTCACTTGGGATGTTGGAGTGGGAAGAGCCAAAGGCCAAGATCAGACACCGAAGGGAACCCAGATGTGGACAGGCCAGACTGGCCCGACAGAGAGGAGGTGTGGACAGAGCAGTAGCTTCAGAGGGTTAAGCAAGTTTGCAGAGAGTGTGAAGAAAAAAAATAGCACTTTTTTCCTTGGAGCAGGATGAACACCATCAGTCTCTCATATTGTTTTGTTTATTTCTTATTGCCATGTAATAATTATACATATTTATAGGGTGCAATGTGATAATTTAAAACACGTATACATTATGAAATGACCAAATCAGTATGATTAGTGTTATCTAGCAACGTTTACATTTTTGTATTTGAGCTGTTCAAGAACCTTTCTTCTAGCTATTGTCTTTAATATTGAGATGTTTGAGGTCTTTATATATTCTGAATATTAATCCCTGCATAGTCTGCAAATATTTCCCCCCATTCTCTATGCTGACTCTCTTACTCTGTTGTTTGTTTCCTTTGCTGTAAGAATCTTTTTGGTTTGATGTAACTCCAATTAATCTATTTTTTTGGTTTTGATGCTTGTGATTAAAAAAAAAAATCCTTCCCCAGACCTATGAAGCATTATTTCTCCTATGTTTACTTCTAGTAGTTTCAGGTTTTACATTTAAGTTTTTAAGCTATTTTGAGTTTTTTTTTTTTCTTTAAACTGGTGAGCGATAGGGTTTGATTTCACTTTTAAGCAGAAGAGACTGTCCTTTCTCCCATGTGCGTTCTTGGCGCTTTTTGTCGAAAATTAGTTGTAAATGTGACCCACAATATTTTATAGCAGCTATCGGTGCAGCAAAGTTCTCTGGTGTCCATACAAAAATAGACCTGAGGTCCTCTTGCGTCCCGCGCAAGTGGGTTAGGAGACCTGATTGGGGGCGGCGCGGAATGAGAAAAGTCAGAGACACAAAATAGAGGAAGCTGGGGTCGGGTGGACTGCACGCTCCTGGTGAGAGACGCGAGTGTCGAATTGATCCAGCGTGTTTATTTTATATGTAAGTACAAGGAAACAAGCATCGATGCTGCCTTGTTAGGAATCCATACCTCGAGATTATAGAGAAAGCAGTCGTCTTTGAGATTTTAAAGGATTTTTCTCATCCTTCTGATTTCCCCTTTCCAAGTCAGTCATATTCACCCTTTCATGATCTATTCTTTTTCCACTATTGTTATTACAGATTAGGAATTTATAACTTGGTTTTCTGTTACTCTTAACTGGTTTCTGCTAGTGTGATCCTGAATCTCCTTAGAAACTATGTCCCTCAAGACCACTTTTCTCGTTTTTCCCTATTTGCTGTTCATTTTATGTTTTGTATCTTTGTTACTTTTTTTTCCCCCTAGGTAAAGGGTGCTTATAGTTTAGGGAAAGTAAGAAGAATGTGGGGATGGAATAGAGTTGGTGAAGGTCTGCTCTCAAGTCTGATTAAGGTTTTTTTTGTCTTGTTTCTTCCCCCTCCCCCAGAAAAAAAAAAAAAAAAAGGAAACAAGCATCGATCGAAACTGGGTTCAGGTCAAGTCAGCGCTTGAGGTTATCTACGGATCATCGGAGGAGCAGAATCAGGGAGTTTCACAAGAAGGCAAAACTTGTTTTCTTTCCAGGCACCAGAGAACAAGCAGGCTGAAAGATCAGCAGGCGCTCAGGTATTTAGCAAGAGGTCTGTGCGAATTCTTGATTTTCCGAATTAGGGGCCAAGGACTGTGTCATCTAGGCCCCTCTGCCTGACCTTTAGGCTCCAACAAGGTCCAGATCGGAGTTAATTGTTGCTAATTTCATCCGAATTCATTCTTTTCACTACTAAATAACCCAGTGCAGTTGGCCCGAGGGAGCAGGAAGGCGCTCGCGTACCTTGAGCCTCTGCGCGCGCGGTGCAGGTGGCGACAATCCCTAGAGCGTTTTGCACGACTTTGCAGGAGCCTCGGGGGTGCGCACCAGATGCGCTGGTCAGGCCCCCTCCCCATAAGTTGGGGTTCCCC